ATTACGTGTCGATTGCATGCATCGCCCTCCCTTTAGTTTGGAACTACTTTATTTCTGTAAGATGGCTTATCAAATATGCTATAAATTATTAAAATATATTTGTTTAATGTTTCAAAAAATAGATCATTGGTATAAATTAATATTATTAGTGTGGAACATAAATTCTAAAAAAAATTTTAATATTTTTTTTCACCAAAAAAAAAAAACGCATAACACAAAATTATTCGGTTTTAAACTTTAACTTGAATAAAAATTGTTTGCATACAATACTTAAACATTTATATATAACAAAGCCAATGACTGAAAACGTGACGAGTACCAGAGATATTATATCTAAAAGGTAGTATTCGTACCACGTGAGATCAAACGCTTTTGTCTTTAGATGTTGTGCACCATCATGTCGTACGACGTATTCAGTCCAGTAAGCGGCTACTTTAGCAGGCGACATTGGGCGGTCCTTAAAACGCTTGGTTGCTAGTTTAGCGTTAGACAAGTACCTAATTGTGAGTACAAAAGAACAAATTTAAAAAAATAATAAGTTTCCTAAAACACCTAAAACATAATTTGTATTGGAATAACATTGATTGCAAATTAATGAACTAAAGTAATTAAATTAAGTCTATCCATAGGATTCCAATTATATAATTATATTTGAATAAAAAATATTTTGTACAATTTATGATATTATCTACCAGCCTAACATTATATAACCATGCACTGATAATTGCCCCAAAGGAAATCATTTTTATTGATGTAAGATGTCTATATAAAAAAAAAATTGTAAAAACTATATATTATGTATAATACTATTACTGAATTTTGTAGATAAGAATTTACTTAATACAAACAAGAGTTTCGATTAAATTATACACTGATCCTACACTATGCAAACGTTTGCTGTTCGAGTTATTATTTTACTCTCCATACGTATTGTCTATAAAAATAGTTTTTTTTGTTTTTCCTATGTGTAATGTTCCATATTTCAATATTATTAATAAATAACGTGATATTTTTTACTGCGGTTCTTACTTTTTATCGTTAATTAATTTATTAACCGATTCGAAAATCAGAGTTTCGGTGACAGTCATCACGTCGAGTGAAATGGCCATTCCGGCTTCGACGAGATTACCAATGTTCCTCGGTTGATCGTAGAATAGCGGAAACCCTAACATCGGAACTCCGGCATCGACAGCTTCAAACACACCAGATATCCCGCCATGTCCGATGAACAGCTTGACATTCGGATGCACTAGGATACAAATCGGTTCGCTCGTTTACAGTTGTGAATTAATAATAATCTAGGTACTTCTTTATACACATCCTCCCTGCGATTCTTACAGAGAATATCACGTTGAGGGAACCACTTTTTCGTCATCACGTTGTCCGGTTTGTCGTCCATTTCGCACTCGTATTTCCACAGTATTCTCTGGGGGAGTCGTGCAAGAGCTAGTTTGAATGCGTTTCTAATGTGGTCAGGAAACGACGACATTTTTATTGACGATCCGAACGTGAAGTAAATAACTCCATTCGGTGAATTTTCAATAAACTCTCGTATATCCTGAAGTTTTTTCAAAATTTTAACCGATTAATTAAATGCATGCCGCGCAATTTTTAGCATTTTTGGCATGCAAGACGCAACGCAAAGGTTCAAAGTATAAAAAAAGGTGGCCAAAAATAATTAAATAAATAAAAAAATATTATCTAAGAAAAATATAATTTAAAAAATCGATTTAAACCCACTTGTTGTTGCATATTTAAATGTTTGAAAATACACCTGTATTTGAAAACTTAAAATTGAAAACAATACAAAACCATAACCGGTAAGTTGATAAAAATACAAATGACCTTTCGGTTACATTTGTTTACCATTTTTATGGCGATAATCATGTAATTAAAGCACAAAATGTTTAAATTAGCTGCTGATATTTACTATTTGTATTACGGCGGTTGTTTAAAATTGCGTACACGTCATCATATCTTTTTTTTTTTTTTGAACAATTGTTTGTTTTTACTATGGCTTAAACCTCTCGAAATTTACACATGAGCCACTTCATGACCGTCGTTTTGCTAATGACTCTTCTTATACAATCCAATGAAAACAATTATTTAAAAGCATGGATTAGATGTATTAAAAATCAACGACCGAGTAAATAATAAAAACATTATTGACGATACTCTTAAGTGCTTAGACTTTTCATTCTTCACCAATCTCAATATCAATTTTATTATAGTAAGTACTCATAAAGTTAAACTGAATTACACATACTTTGCTAAATGGAATAGTAGTTGTAGAATAATATATGAAATATGTCTTAAAACCAATCAAGCTACTTCAATTTAAACATTTTGCGAAACTATACTTCATCAAACCCTAACCACTAGTTTAAGCGGAAAGGGGAACATATTACTTACGTCATACATATACCTAAGCCCATTGCATTATTTGGGACTTACATTTGGTATGGCGTTGGGTTCGGGAAGGTGGATACCGCCGATTTCTATGATATTCGGCGGCATGGGTCTGGCCATTTCGACGATGAAATGACTGTTGACAAACACCAAAGACGGTTTGACCGGCTCTATCCGGTCGTACGGTCTGGGGTCGGACTTGACGGCCATTGTTTCGACGTACCACAACAGAGACCTGCTGTATTTGTACGTGAGAAAGTTGAGCAACCGCTGTTGGAACGTCTTGGGGTAGCCGAAAGACAGCATAAAATTGGACACGTACGCGGGGTTCGGGTCTTCGCCAAGAAACGACGATTCCATGTAGGTCGGCATTGGCGACGGGAACAGGTAAATCAGTGGCAAACGGAGACGACGGACCAACGCTGACATACAGTCCGTGGCAAGTGATTCGGTGACGATGACGTCGAACTCGTCGGCGTTGCCCGCAGCCATGATGGTTTTCATTTTGGCGTTTGCAAATACGCTGTCACAAGATTGTCTATTGCGGTGCACCACGTAGTCGATTAGATTGTTCGGAGGTCTTAACCGTTCTTTGAATCCTACCAGATCCATATTCAACCGCAACGGTCCCTCCAAGACGAATTCCGTGTAGTTTGGGCGTTTTCCATCGGGAAACCACGTGAAAACCGTAACGTTATGCCCGAAGTCGGTCAGCGCATGCAAAAATCCGTTCATGAAATTCCAATGGCTTTTGCTCGATATCGTGTTCACGGCTAACACCCGTAATCCTGCCTGTGTCGGGTGAAAACACAACGCGGCGAACGGCAATAACGTCGAGGCGAACCGCACTAAAAACATGATTATAACTCTTCGGGAAAATTATTGTGTTGATCTTCTGTAATAACCGATCGGACTAGTCGATACCACGAGCGAGTTTTATATTCCGTTTATGAAAACAGTCATCACTTTGTGTTTTATCGACAGATAATCGAAGAATAGTTTATTCATATAGAAACATTTCAATGTATGCCTATGTCGGTCGGCTTTCGATACCATGTTCAAGATAAGTGCAATTGCCTCTCCCCTTGGAGAAATATAAAAATGCATTATCTTAATACCCATTATAGATTAGAAAAATACATTCAATTAACATAAAGTATAACAATTACATACTATCTAAATTGAAGTATCACAAAACAATTTTTTGAAAAAATGCTCAAATCTTGTAGAGTTTTACATTAAGTTTAATTTTTTTTGTTAAAAATTAATCAGCAAAATTGTTTTTCATTTAGAGACATGCCTACAAATCTTATGTAAAATGAATATTAATAAAAATGTTATAAATTAATAGAATAATTGTTTTTTTTTTTGTATTTAAAATTTGAATTTAGTTTATAACGACACAATACTTAAAGAAGAAAAAAATTAATTTTTAGTACTCTTTTTTTATGTAAGAAAAAAATAATCTAAATCAGTTGTTTACTTTGAAAAAAATATTTTAAAATAGGGATTTACGCTGTTGTTGACCTCGGGCTTTATACACAATGTTAAATGAAGGTGGTTGAAGGGGGTTTTTGAATACAATTTAAGAGACGATAATAATACCATTAAGATGAGGTTTTTTTTATTACAAGCAAATGATATTTAAATGTATACTGTTAACAATTATTGCGACGTACTCATTAGAGTAAAGGTTGTCTAGAGGTCACATACAAGTTGTTACATGAACTTAACTTTCACAAAATGTTTGTATTAATTGAATATAATAAAATATATTTATAGACAGCGTACTTGTATCCACAACAAGGCACGTAAAAGATACACACATGTACCTACATACATTTATATTATACAACAAAAAAAAATGTAAAGTTTGTAGTTGTACAAACAAAAGCTATTTTGAATCTTATTTATTTTGCTTTCTAAAGCAACAATAGTTTATGCAAATAAGAGTGAAGTTATCTAAACACACTTATCTAGAGTCTAGACAGTTATTCTGTCTATCTGGTACTACGATGTCGAATTTGCACAACTCGCTTGCTGAAGTAGCCAAGATAGTACGACTTGAGATTTGACATGAAAATGTTTTAATAATTTTAGCATAAACGCAGTTTCAACTACAACAAAAAATATAAATTTTTTTTTTTTATATAAGTTTTTATAACACTTAAAAAGTTAACATGGACAATATCGTATAATTTCTTTGAAATTAAAACATAATCTTCGTTTTTTGGTACTTTGTAAAACAATAATCGTCAAAACTGTATCTGAAACAATTTTTTTGGTTTAATCAACTTTTTTGGGGTTTAAAAATGTTTGACGGTATCGAAAAAAAGCCCATTTTATTTCTTTAACTAGAACAAACAACTGAACTCATATTTTTTATCACTTGAACTTGATGGACACAAGTGTTTTTAATACAGCTTATATTATCAAATAATTAATCGTTGACAACTATCACTTAAGCTATATAATATATCATAAGATATCTATTGTTTTATAAAGCACGTGAAAACCATGAGTGTTTATAATACAGCTTATATTAACAAATAATTAAATGTCATATTATTGATATATCATTGAAAAAACTTCCTCTTAATGTATTTAATATAACATAAGATATTGATCATTCCAGTTGACAACACGATTTATTATTTTGAAATTTTCTTTCCTTACATTTTTATGAAAGTAGTAGAAAAATTAAACATGCTATGTGGCAGGGAAATCAACAGAGATTTACTTTTCATGAAAATGAACTACTTTTTCGCATGGGGCGGTAAGATATTATAATATAAAATATAACTAGCATTCACTTTTACACTCCATTGATGATACAATATTACTGTTTGTCTGTTGATATGTTTATAATGAAAAGGGTAAGAGTGAATGTATGTAGGTGCACTTTTTGATGCATGACAAAAGCTGTAATTTTTTCTTGAACGTGAAACAAGGATGGAGTTTGTAAGTATGTGTTTATTAAAATAGAAATATGAAGTTTTGTAGAATAAATAGAAAAACGGAGAAAGAGTCAGGAGAGGATGTTTCTTTGCTTCCCAATTTTCAATTGATAAGCCGACGTATCTTATTCTGCACAGAAGAGAGTAAAAACTCATTTAAGATCAAGAATAAATGATAACCGTCTTAATAGTTCATCTATTATCTCTAACGAATCAGAAATTACCACGATGGAACTATTAATATAAAATTCGTGCCGAAAAATTGAATTTTGTTAAGTCATTTAAATTTTTGCGAGGGCGCTAAATAAACAGTGCTCCAGGGCACTAGAAATGTAAAAACGTCTTTGAGTAAAGCAACTATAAAATAGATAATGCCAGCTGACCTTACTTGTATAAGCAGAGTTGGGCATTATCCGAATGATTATTATTCAAACTAAAAAATTACTTTGATTAAATGATTCATTCCTATTTTTTTTTTTTTTAATACTTTTTTACCTTACAGCTTATTTTGCTATTGATGATATAATTAAAAAAAAACTTAATTACGTTAAAATAGTTATTCGAATAAAAAAAAAAAGTATTCGAATCGTCTTAGAAAGTTTGAGTTCTTTATTTTTATTGTTTTTTTTTTTAAATTAATTATTGACGTTTTTTTTCTATATTTTTTACATTAGCCTACGCACCTGTTATTCCGTTTTGTGCCACTATTGGAAAACAACGAGGTTATTCCGCATTGGCGATGGGAATCACTTTGACTGGCTTGCAGATACCTAGTCTTGTTGTACGACCTTTGCTAGGAAGCGTCACGGACGCCTACCAATGCCGGAAATTGATGTTTCTCATTGGAGAGGTGCTTTCAGCACTAGCAGTTCTCGGATTGATATTTTTACCTGGTGCAACGGTCGCAGAAAGTATCGCCGATGAGATCGTGTTTAACACCTTGCTGTACTGGGTGTTCTTTTTTTTATTGTTTTTCTTATACCTTGGATGTGTAATGCGGTCGCTCATGGAGGATACGATCTGTGTCAGTCTACTCGGTACATCGATGTTCCTAGTCGATAAATATTTCTTTATTAATCATAAAATATGTTTTCACGCTTAGACAGAATGTAACTATTTTTTTTCTCTCCAGGAGACAATGTACACAATTACGGACAACAAAGAGTTTGGGGAGCAATTGGTTACGGTATAATTTCTATAGTTTCTGGGGTGGTCGTCGACTGGTTTAGCATAGGACAAGCTCATGACGACTTTAGACCCGGATTCGTGATAGCATTTATATGCGTAGCCTTCGACGTGTACGTTTCGGCTAAAATCAAGGTAATCTACAATTAGAATACATTTTGGTTTCGGTCAATTTGATCTAACAAACAAATTAATATTGCGATTACCGAAACCATATAAATTTCGATAGATTGTTTATACTATCTGTTATTATTTTAAAGTTATATAGTTTTGGTACAGAGGTATTTTGTAACTAACTACACTAAAGAACCTGTATAATTTCAGGTTGAACAAGTTAAAAAAACAGAAACTTTTAGTGGCAATATGAAAACAGTTTTGACTGATTTTAGAGTAATCGTATTTTTAATTGCAACCATTTCGTTCGGTTTCTTTTATACCTTTGTTCTGTATTTTGTCATCTGGTAAGATACAATATCATATGGATAGCATAGTGCACAGGTGTTCGGTTTTTTTTAATTTGCAGGAAACATTTTGTACAGTATACATAACGCTATATCAGTGTGTTATATATAATTTCAAGTCCTCTAATAGTGAAAATATGAATCTTTGTGATCCAATATTCGCACCAAAATTGTGTAGGGGACTTTTAGGTATTATTTTTTATATAAAGTGTGATCTCAATTTTTTACATTTTGAATTTTTTTACACTTCTCTTAACTTATTTTTTTGACAGTAACTTTTGAAACTTAAATCGTAACGCATACATTTTATTAACTTTTTTAAATTGAGAAAAGTGTACTAAAAATGTTGACTGGTCGATATCCAGTTTTGGATAACTATTTTTAAAATTATAAAAGTTTTAAAGTTAGGACGGGTAGTGCTATTCAAGTTTCAACATTTTCCATAAAAACACTAAGTTGATAGGTTGGATAAGTTGACAATAAGTTGGTAAAAACAAAAAAAAATTGTGAAAATTGGGATCACATTGTATAAAAAAAAATAATTTCTTATCAACCCTATGAGATAATGTGGTTCACGATAAAATGACCACTCAGTATATATCTGTGCACTGTGTCGTCATTATCTAGATTCCAACACATCATTTTGGAACAAATAATAACCGTTAATAGTTTTTTTTTTAATCTTGTAAAATTGTAATTAACAATACACAATTTTTTCTATTCCGCATTTAGGTACCTCGAAGACATAACCAATTTACATCATCCTGAATATGAACCCCATATAAAAACTATTCAAGGGCTTTCTCAGACTATTCAATGTTTTTTAGGTGAAGTACCATTCTATTTTGTTTCTAGTAAGTGATCGTTTGTGTGCTCAGACATGGCAAAAAAATTGCGAATAACATAAAATATGTTTTCTTGTATTTATAAGGTTATATAATCAAAAAGGTGGGTCATATGAACGTGTTTTCATTGACGTTCGTGGCTTATGCAATCAGATTCGCTCTTTATTCGATTATTGAAAATCCGGTGGTTGCTTTGAGCGTGGAAATATTTCATGGAATCACTTTTGCACTACCGTATTCTGCCGGAGTCGCGTATGCCGCTAAATTGGCTCCGGTTGCTGCGGAAGGGACGATGCAAGGATTGGTTGGAATGACAATGAAGGGCATAGGTTTGTAACAGTTGAAGTTTGTATTTGTCTATGTGAATGCTTTGTTGATTTGCGTATAATTATATTGATTTCATTTACAGATGTTTTGTATTCTTTTAGGTATTCCGATGGGAAATTTTGTCGGAGGTTATATAATCAAGAATTTAGGAATCGTAGATGCTTTTAGAATATTCAGTATAGGTTCGCTTATGGTTTGTATCGTTGTATCAACAATGAATCTTATTGTAAAACGCATGTACAAAACCGAAAATAATGTTGTCCAGACTAGTTGAAATCATTCGATACGCACCTATTGTTATACGGTCATAATTAAACCTGATAATGTTTTTTTTGTTTTGTAAATATTGTAAACTATCGGTAATCCTCAAATGTCCTTATATATTTTACTTAATAACTGTACTACCAACTATGTGGTCCATAAACATCTAACCTAATGTTTAAAAACGTTTAATTTTAAGTGTTTAGAACTGAGAATTAGAACGAATACATCACTTCTCCCTACGTTCTAGTATATTTATTTTTAATTATATTATAAGCTTCCCGAGGAATATAAAGTGATATTTTTACAAACGATATAAAAAAGTAATAGGTTTGTTTTAGAAGTTCTAGTTACGATCTTGTGTTTTGAATGGTTTTTTATTTTATTTAGAACTTAGATATTTAATGATAAAACTGTTTTGATAATAATCACTGACATAAAAATGCAAAACTTAACAAATGTAATGGTCATGTTTCACTTGAACGTCGCTTCTCGCCATAAACCAGCCTAGTCAGCATTAATTATAGCATACAATAGATAGGGTCAGCAGGCACACACTGGATAATAGCTATGTGCACCGTGTCCTATCAAATGAGATCTAACATCACTGGAACAAAACATCTTACCTTAGGGTGGGGTTGGAAGTTTTTTTTAATTTTCTAGGCGCGATTTTAAGATTTAAGAAATGTGCTTGGTTTTGCCTGCACTGGTTTATACTGGACTATGCTGGATTAAACTGTGCTGGTTTTTTTTTATATTAAAATTAATTTACTATAAATATTGACTGAAGATTAAGTAAAAGATTAAATAAAAATAATTTAATATCTATATATTTTATCTATTTATTCATTTTAATATCCTATCACTTATTTCTTAGTGTAAAACGTAATGAAATGTCTTGTATCCAGCCCAATGATATATCCATGTTAAATTTTGAAACGGGATAAATTATATTTCACTAAATTATACTATATTTTTATCTTGACTGTTTAAATTTAATTTAAAACCGGATAAACAAAATATAACGTGAAATATAATACAAAATACAAAGGTTGACCAATTTAAGATCTTTTTATAACCAAAATTAATTATTATTAATTATGAAAAAAAATTCAAATTTTTCTGAAATTTTGTGTAAAAAGACTTCTAAAGTGGTCAAGTCAAAGGTTTTTTTGGTCTTTGAATTTGAATTTAATATCACTTTTCAATTTCGACTGGGCAAAAAAATCTTATGTAAAAAAAAAAAAGGTTGATTGAAATTAATTAATCATAAATATGTAGAAGTAGGCATAAATAAAGCTTGAAACTACTGTCGTAAAAATGGTCACAAAATAAACATTTCTTATGAATTTCAATTCGATTCGACCATTTTTCCAATTCCGAAAGTGTAGCTAGTAAAAGTTAAAACTTGGAAACTTGTTTAGCTTTTTTTTGTTTTTCCTGATTGTATTAGTGAACGAGTGAACTTTTCATCTTTTAATCTCTCAATATACAAACTACATAAAATGTGTGTTTTGCAGAGTGGCTTTTAAAAGGCATTGGTCCAGTATTGTAAAAGTGAATGTGGGTACAAAATGAAAAAAAAGTCATATTATAGTAAAACCAATAGCTTTTCAGCAAGCTATTTCAGCAGGCATTGACTCAAATGTAATTGAGTTTTACATAAAAACCGGGATAAACATTGCATGAAAATTAAAAGTCTATATGTATAATATGTTAGCGTTTTGTAAATTTAAAAATTATTTTATTTTATTAAGTTAATCGCCAAATATTATAATATAAATTACGGTAATGCTACTAAAATCACGTTAAAAAACATAATATTATGTTTTCCAATACTCTGATGTTGTTTCACTTATATGACTTACAATATGAACTAAATGAAAATTAGTATTGTATTTCTTTATTTAACTATTATATTTTATTAGTACTATGGTATGACCTATGTATGGTTAAAGGTTGTCCAATGTAATATTTTAAACAGATCATAACGATTGAGATTGATGAAACGAGAACCAATAGAAGATAACAGTTTTACTTTGAACATGTAAAATATCATAAACGAATTTGTATGGCTTTTGCCAATTTCTGTTTAAATATTCAACTATATAAATATCATAGCTAGGCGTAGCAAGCAACGCCGTCTAACATTTAGAGATATCTTTTAAATTAAAAAAAAAATTGTTTTCTAATAGTCGAGAAAGCAGTACCGGACATAACCTGCTTTTACCCTTTTATAGTTCTCTGTATACGGTGATTATTTCATCGTGAACCACTCAATAACTCATAGTGTTTAATAAGCAATTACATTTTTATTTCATATTGTTTTCATATAATGTGATCTCAATATTTCACAATTTTTTGTGTTTTTAACCTCTTTCGAAGCTAATTATTTTATAATATGGGCTTTTGAAACTTAAAATATGGTAACGTGTAATATATTATATTAACATTAATGTAAATTGAGAATGTTTTACTAAAAATGTTGACTTGTTGATAAACAGCTTTGAACCATATTTTTAAAGTTATAAGAGTTTAAAAGTTAGGACGAGAGGAGAAGTGTGGGTGGGAATTGCACGCAGATAAAAATAATGCTACACTCCGATTTTCCTCTTGCCTTAAACAAAAAACTAAACAATTATTTTCAATTTAAAAAGTTAATGCAATGTATGCGTTACCATTAAAGTTTTAAATGTTGATATAAAAAAAACCAAGTTGGGAGAGGGGTAAGAACAAAAAAACAAATGTGCTAATTGAGATCACATTGTATAAAAATAATATGAAAAATAACAAATTCAATTTTTACTTAACTCTATGAGATATTATGTGGTTGACGATAAAGTGATCACCCAGTATATTTTTCAAACCTGTCACTGAAATTCGGTATAAATGTTTAAAAAAATATATTTAATTTGTATGCGTCTATTCGCACCAATGCGATTATAGGTTTAAAAATATTTTTTTATAGAAAACAATGTTACATAGATAATGTTCTATAAGTATTATTCATGTATTCTACAAATCAATATATTCGGTATTAGTTTAAAAAGGTGTATGGGGGGGCAACTAAACTTAAAGGTAGCGTGTCCAAAATATCTAAATTTTTGTAGGTTTTTTTTACTAAGAGATTTGTGTAATGTGATTGAATTTGAGCTTACAGCGTTTTGGGTTAGTACTTTACCTAGCTCTTCCTTCAGGTGGAACTTAAAAATTATAAGCCTAAAAAATCTAAATTTATTTTCTATTTTTATCATGCATGCCAGTTTATAGCACTTATTAGTACATTGATACTACAGCTGTAAAATATAACAACATTGTATACAATAGTAATTTGAAACCTCTAATGTAGTTAAACTGTTTTGTGGCTACTGCAGTGGCCGTGTAAGTAAAAAGCTGAACTTATATTGTGATATTTCTTAGAACGGACATTTATAATATTTAAATAGTAAAATGTAGTAATATTGAATAGTAATATTTAACTATTAATTAATTAAATTAAATCATCGTGTCGAAATATTCAATTTTAGTAAGTACTGCCGTTTTTCTTTTGGTCTTTTAAATAACTTTTTGTGTACGATTTGAGACTAAAAATTCTTTTAAATTAATATAAAGCTCTAACCTAACACTTTTTTTATTATAGTAATTTCACAACACAATTAATTTGATATTAGTATAGACAATATACTGTTTAAAGGATTATCATAAATAACTCAGGCGTTCTTATAGACACTTATATTGTCTTCAAAACGAAAATGAATATGTATTTTATGCGTGCAAACAAACATATACCCCATCTGTATCGCCAATATTGTTTTAATAAAATCGTTGACTTCGATCCCATAAATACTGAAAACGTTGAATTTTTAAGTACAGTCGAATATAAAGTACACTATTAAAACAGTTAAAATGATACATATTAAAATTATTCTTTTGCTCAGTCTGACAGCGTATGTGGCGTAAGTATTTTTTCGGACAATTTTTTTTTGAAAAATATTTCATCAAATCTATGGTTTTCGTGTATTCAATTTTAATATAATTATAAACGTTTGATTTATAGGTGTGGCAGTTGTTGGTCTAAAGGTAAATGTTACATAAGGTATACAAGATAAAATAACTATATCATATAAGATTTAGTAAAAAAAAAAAAAACTCAATGAGTCCACTGATCAACGGAATCTCGCAAAAGCCTGTTATATATATATATATACATATATACATACAGGGTGATACATTAATGATAATACGCTTATTTTTTTTTTGAAAACATTTTTTTACACAAACTGAAGTGTCTCCAATAACCAAAACTACAAGAATTCCAGGTTTTAGTTGCAAATTTGATTGTACTTGTATTTTATTGTAAGGTGTATGTTTTACAACGATATGTTATTTTATTTTCATCATCGATGAACAAAAAGTAGTCAAAGTAAACGAATGTAACCAAATAACGGCTGAAAACTTAAACGCTTGATTTTCTTTTCAAACAAAGAATATTTCGCCGAAAATACAGAGCAATCTTTAGCAATTGATTTTTTGATTATTTTTTTTATGCTAACTACTAAAAGTAACGATAATTATGTAAAATATTGAAATTCGTCATAAACAGTCGAACAAACGGTGGCCTTAGTTGACAGCTGTTAAAGAATACTTATGACGTGAGTCTTCTTCTTTTTTTTTTTTTTAGATTTAGCTGCTACGGCTGACGATACACAAATACAAATTTACACGTCTGGGGACAAAATATATATTACAGGCAAATCGTGAAATGTAGTACCTACATTTTTTTTATGTTACTTATTACTACTCACAACTTTCGAAATTTGATAGTGCAGCTTACTAAACGATGTACTAAATTTTGAAACAAGGTTTTAACTTTTATGCTTTTCAGTTATTGGTTTTACACATCGATCGTCATGGCATATAATCTAGAAATATTTGTCAGGCTAGTGTATGTGAATTTGTATAGCAGGTTGAGTATGACAATTTATTGATAAAAATAATATTAATAACAATTTATACTCAATAATAGGTGTAAACAATTTTTCTCCGTGGTAGGAATGTAATTTAAATAATAGTTTATACTTTTGTTATATATACAGGGTGGCCCACAAAGATTTGACAAATGAAATTACTTTTGATCTATTGAATATTTTTGAGATTTTTTTTATAATATATTATACTCATTTGTGCTATAAACAAATGTTTGGTTTTTATCGCACTTACCTGTTTCACTTTTTAAATTTTT